CTGCTTATGCTGACTGGCAGGCCACTGGGCCCCATGTCTTTCTCCAGGTGGTTGGGGCTTTCCATTGCCCAATTCTTAGCGCATTTTGGAGAACCCCACCTCTAGGCTCCCCCTTTTGGTGTGCTCCTTCACACGCTCCCACACCCCTCTTTGTGAATTCCAAGGAAAGCCAGGGCAGGAGGCCTGTGTTTTGTAAAGACTGGTGTTATTGGGGACCCTGTGCTTTGGAACAACTTCTAGCCTGGGTTGCTGGGACCTACCATTCTTTCTCCCCAGCGATGGGAACCTATCCGGGACAGTCAGGCCCAGCGGCCTCCGGACTTTCTCAGTGGTAACCCCAACACTGGACCCGCCCCAGCCACCTTCTGGGGGCCCTATATAGAGCCTCAGCACGCCCCCTCCTAGGTGGGGGCAGAAGCCTGCCACCCTGAGCCCACTAGAACCTGAGACCACACCCCCACCCCAACCAGGGCCTTGCCTGCCTCCAGGGTGTCTGGAGTCCACTCTTCTGGAGGTCCCCCTTGGGTCCCCAGGAAACCCCTCCTCCATTGTGGATACCCCACATAGTCAGACTGCGGTCTGATCTTAGTCTCTTTGGCCCCTCTCCCAGACTGCTTGCCTAGTTTAGGAGTCAACTGACCATCCTCCTGCAAGCCCTACCCATGACCTCGAGCCCCAAAACCCCAGCTGATTGTCCTGTATTTGGTTGTCTCTTTCATAGGGACCCAATTTCCTATCCTGCCTCCTTGAGGGTTTCCCTTCCCGAGTACCTGTGTGGTGTGATGTGATGTGAGAGCTATCCTCACCTTGCAGATAGATCTCTTACCTCCCTCCTGCCCCCGCAGTTAAAAGCGTACGTGTCTCCCTCCTCTCCAGAGGACCACTGCCGGGTGAAACCTGGGCCCCGGCGGGTGGAGGGCGACGGCCGAGGTGGGGCTGGGGGCGAGGCCTCGGACCCTGAGTCGGCTGCCTCCTCAGTCAGCGGCGCGTCTGAAGAAGGCAGTAACGTCGACAGGAAGAGGCAGAAACAGAAGGGAGGCACTGGTCGGAGGCGCTTTGGGAAGCCCAAGGCCCGGGAGAGGCAGCGGGGTGAGTGTGGGGTGGGGGTGCAGGGGGATAAAGTCTGAGCTGAGTCTTGCATGTGACCTCCCCCTCCCCTTCAGTAATACAGGAGACCTGCTGGTCGGTCCCAGCCTCCACGTTTTGGTCTACCCTCCCTGACCTAACCAGCGTCAGTAATCAGTAATGTGGGAAGCGGCAACAGCCCAGGCAGCTGTGAACTCATCTCTCTGGCTCTTGCGGTCTTTATTTCCTCATCCTCCTCTCTGGGCCTCCCTCAAATTTCCTGCTCGTCTCTTTCCC